TCCTTGTAAACTGAGAGCGCGCTGCCTCAGAATTTCTCAGTAACCTTAAAGGCTAAATATTTTACTTGTATCTTTCCTTCTATTGATGAGATGTGTAAATTTTCGACTGAAATGCGAACATTCTGTTCTGGCAAAAGTCTATACAAATACAAATTACACCATTAGGAGAAAGATAGACTGTCAATGTTCGAACACCACCGTCTACACAGCACTGCACGAGTCTGGAGGGGCTATCGGGCGAGCAGTACTGAGGTTCGCCGAGGGCAGAGTTAAGGAATCCCAGTCGTCCTCTAGGGCAAGTGGTCGACCTTCGTAGATTAATTTGGCTGGGGTGTGTTACGCATTTCTCCAAGTACATTACCACAGCGGGCGGCGTTAGGTCACTTAAGGCTTTCCGAATGTGGATCTCGAAATCAACTTCACCGATTGTTAGAGACACTGTGCGATATGTCTGAGTATCGCAAACTGTGACGCTTGTGCATCGACTCTCGATCCTCACAACCTGAATTCTATAACATCACATTGATGCTACTTCCAGCATTTCAGTCCTCTCTCTCTACTCCTGCATACAAATGAGTAGCCGGAAGACAGCAACTGAAACCGCTACATGAACGCGCATGACTAGTGGTTCCTGACCCACAATCATAACGCGATTGAGTATGTGTTTTCGTGTGCACACACTTCGGCTGAATCGGGCATGGAGTTGTTTGGGCAACACAATATGGATGATCTGAATCCTTCCATTCAAATTCACTCTATTCTACGAATCACCCGGAAAACCTGCCTACACCGCCAAGCGGCAATTTCGTCAAGGTCGCTCACAAATCGGATAAAATATTATTTTCCATGCTCGACACTTGACGACTGCCAATTGTTACCACCCTACCCCCATAAACCCTCTGTTGGGTGTTTATACTGATCCCGTGGTCATCAATCAAAACAAATCTTGGTTAGCAGTGTTCTTGTCTGTGCATTTGGACGTCGATTTCATCAAACCGTCAGTGCTTACTTTCACTTCAACCTCGTTTTTCGAAAATGGGTCGGAGAGAGGTTAGAAAAAATGTTTAATTGTGTACCTTGATCACTCAAACCAACTCACCTCTGATTTTGTCTTACCTAATAGTGTCCTAATTCGGGCTTATTTTTTTCCACTGTTTTTGTAAGCCAACTTGAAACGTCTACATGTTTTGTTCAATTCTCTCTCTCTCCGGAAGGAGCACTGCGTCAGAAATTGTTGAATTGGTTCCAATCTAGTGCTTCATGGGTGAGTGAGTGGAGATGAATGAACCTGATAACGAATGGGGAAACAGAGTTAACTTGTATCTGCTCTCTCGTTTCCCTCGTCAAACAGTTTAACTTCGCTTATTGAAAGGTGAACAAGAGATTATATCGGGGTGTTGGAGAGGAACTACTGGTTTCCTGCAGCTCTTATTTGGACTCCATTTAGTCTGTTACTTGTGTGTGCTTTTTTGCATGTATACGTTTATAGCGGATGGTGAAGAAATCCAAAGCATACCCTACAGTTTGACCTCTATAACCCAATCTGCGGACGAACGACAACGATACACAGGATCGTGATCATGATCTGGACAGATCTGTTCCCCGATTGCCTTTTCTTCTGACACTGTACCAACTGCATCCCTCCCCCCGATCCGCACCGTTTGTGCAGATCTCTTGCACTAGTTTATCCGTTCGTGATGTTTCTCTGTGCCTCATCTAGTTTTTTTGTCTATTTCTTTTTTTAAAATGCGATAGGAGTTTATGGAACACCAGAACAGTAACCATTCAGCTGTATTATTTACGCCCCCCCCCGTCGCATTTCAACTGACGCCTGTCTTCGCCAACCTATCTCGATAACCAATCTTGACAGCACTGAATGTTTTTAAACCCGC